CTCTCTTGCTCCACTGATAACCACCTAGAAGATTCGCTGCGGTGTGTCTGCTTATGTGCTCATGTCTGTCTAAACCTGACTCCTGTGTTCGGGCTTCACGAGAGTCAAGACCACCATTTCTGAGTCCCCACTCAAATCCCTAGGACACTGGCTGAGGCATCAGTGTAAGGGAAGGATAGAGGGAGGTAGGACAACGGGCCAGGAGCAGTGCTGGGACCCAGGAACATTTGGTCCCACAGCTGTGGAAGAACTCCAGCCAGCAGAGGCAGCACTGGGGCCTGCAGACAGGTGTCCCACTACCATGAAGTCAGACATGACTGAGGAAGGCTCACTTGCCACAGCTGTGCCTCTATAGTTGCCCATGAATCAAGATTTCAGGGGTAGTTGTGGCCAGAGGCAGGGCAGCAGAGAGCAGGATAGACTTCCCTCAGCAAGAGGCCAGGCCCAGATACAGCACACCTGGATGGCAAGATCAGACAGTTATGGCTTCCAGAAGATGTAAGCACCTTCAAGCCAGGCACATTTACCCTCAAACCCATCACCTCAAAGAACTTAAGATTTCCTCACAGTGTGCTCCCACATTCACACAAGACATGGAATGCCTGGCTTTCTGAGGCTGGAGATGCAGCTCAGTGGAAGAGCCCTGGCCTAGGATGAATGAGATCATGGGTGCAGTCCCCACAGAGGAAAAAAGAAAGAAAAATCCCTAGGAGGGAAGGTGGAGTCCATTGTGACTTGTTAAACACCATTCCACTCAGGGTCTGCACGGCTAATATATGGGGTAGGAGCTGCTGGCCTGAGGCCTGCCCTGTGAAATGGGATCTGTCCATCTTTACTACAGAGCAATGATAAATGATCACAGACAGACACTGGTCAGGACAAGGCACTTTATTTAAGAGCTCTGACAGCCCAAAGTGCTTTAACATAGATGCATGGAAGATTTATCTAGATGATAAAACACCTGCACTCAAAAGGCACATAAATTATGATTTTGCAGGTTTTATTTTTCCTTTATGAGTAACATTATACAGACTGAGCAGGTTATATTTAGGAATATATATGTATATACATATATGCATGTAACTGCAATTAATGAAAAGAGAGGCCATGAATTTGAAAAAGAGCAAGGAGGGGTATATGGGAGGGCTTTGAGGGAGGGAAGGGAAGGGAGAGATAATGGAATTATATTATAATCTTAAAAAGAAAAAAAAGTCCATAGTCAAGTGTTTCAAGTAATAAGAAAAATACACATGAGGCTGATTGCACTTCATACACACGGCCTGGTTATCTAAAGTGTCTTTGCTACCAGACAGGCCTGATTCCGAAATGGGGTCACATATCTGTGACCTTCATTTTCCTTGTGGTAGTGGTGGTCCATGGAATGACTAATAAACATAATACAATACCAATAACTATTACTGACCACGGATTTTTCCATACCCCATCTGTGTGCTGAGGTTAGCCCTTCATGTACTTATCTTGCTTGAGTTGGGTATGATTCCCAAAATAAAATATAGATGCTAAGACATCCTGTGTTATGTGACTGGAAAGCCATGGGGTTATCCATCAGGCTGCCTCATACATGAAAGGGTTCAGTCCTCTGCAAATGCTTAATTAAGCACATTGGTTATTTTTCTCTGCCTTCATACTCCTATTTAACACACACAGACATAGACACAGACACACACACACACACACACACACTTTAGAAAGTTCCCAGGCTTATTTTCAATTGTTCATTCATTCATCTGTTTGTCTACTTTGGGCATGACTGCCTAATGCAGGAGTTATAATGCTCCACAGCTCCCAAGCCACTTGGTGAATAAGATCAGTCTCAGGCAATTATCATAGCCATACTACTATAGTCATAAAGATAACAGAGGTCACTTAGAGCAACAGTAGCCCCCCTGCATGGGACTCATCTGGTCATGAGTTAAAGACAAGCCTTGAAGGCAATTTTAGCCCTTTGGACTAATTTCTCCATTTTTTTCCTTCTGTTTTCTCTGGCCCAAGTTTTCTCAGACTCTTGGGCCTTTTGAAAGTGGGGCTGGATAGAGGTCCACTATCACGTAAAACATTCCTCTCATTTGGAGGCTGGTGCTTTCTGGGGAAACCATTGCCACAGATAACTCAGCCCCCACTAATCACCCTGCCCAGCTCCTCATCTCCACACCACACTTCCCTCCCCCACTTCACCAGTGTCTGCCAAGATAAGGAATGGGCAATACCAGTAGCACAGTAACTTCCTACATGCTGGATACGATGCCAAGTATTCTGGGTACTCAAGATCCCAGTGGCCTCTAGAGCAGGCACTATTTCTCTTGTTTTAGTTTATTTGGAGAAGGAAAGGGGAGGGGATGAGCAGTTGTTCAGAGCAGAACTATATGCCAAGAGCCTGCACAACCCTCACCACCCAGAGGACAAGTGACCTCTTCAGATCAGTTGCAAAGCTGGGAAGTCAGAGGTTTATGGCCATCACATTGAAGCCTCTCTTCCCATCTTGGCCATCAGATTGCCATGGCTTGTGAGGGGAACAGAGGGGATGCACCATAGCTGCTCTTTCTCCTCTCCCTCCAACACCCTATTAACAATCCTCTATTGACCACAACCCTCCAATGCTGCCAGGCTCCTCCCTTAACTGTGCTCCCCATTCTGTTCTCTTAGAGAAAATCCCAAGTCTACATCAATAGTGTGGACAAGACCACAGAAGACATCAGGATCATTCAAGGCATAAAATACACCAAGCCTAAGCCTCTTTCTTTATTAATTGTTACATACATATGTGTATGTATTACTATATGGATTAACTGTTGTTAACTACATATATACATACATACATATATGTATGTAACAACAATTAATGAAGAGAGAGGCCGTGAATTTGAAAGACAGCAAGGAGAGGTATATGGGAGGGTTTGGAAGGGGAAAAAGGAAGGGGGAAATGATGTAATTATATTATAATCTAAAAAAAAAAAAAAAGGAGCCGGGCGGTGGTGGCGCACGCCTTTAATCCCAGCACTCGGGAGGCAGAGGCAGGCGGATCTTTGTGAGTTCGAGGCCAGCCTGGTCTACAGAGCGAGATCCAGGAAAGGCGCAAAGCTACACAGAGAGACTCTGTCTCGAAAAACCAAAAAAAAAAAAAAAAAAAAAAAAAAAGGAAATATAAATGCACACATATGTAAATGCCAAGTGGCTGACGGGTGTTTCTGGAGTACAGAGTACTCTCTGTACTGGTTGAAGTTCTGAGGGGTCCTCAGCCAGAGACCAGCAGAGATGCTGCTGCTAGGGAGTCTTCTGGCTGATTTTAGAGAGGACACCAAGAGCTGAGAGCCACCTGGGAAACAGTGGGAGCATGTATTCTGGGACTCTTGGGGCTAGCAGGACCAGGCAGAGCTTGCAGGAAACCTGTTCCTGACAGATGCAAGGCAGCTTTCCTCACGTGGCTCAGGGTCAGCATGGCCACATAGGCAAGCTTGCATAGCTCCAGGAGAGCAGGCCTTACGTTTGGCTTCTCTTGGCACTAAGCCAAGGAAAAGGCATGAGGCAAGTGTTTCGGAAAGAAAAGACTGAACCAGTCCTCAACTTAGAGAACAGGCTGTGTGAGTCTACTTACACATCAGAGGAAATCGGTCTAAGGAAGGGGAGGCATGCTTGCTCAGAGACAGACATCCAAGTTCAGTCCTGAGGAGCCTAGCCTTTTTTTTTGTTTTTTGTTTTTTTTTTTTGGTTTTTCGAGACAGGGTTTCTCTGTGTAGCTTTGCGCCTTTCCTGGAACCCACTTGGTAGTCCAGGCTGGACTTGAACTCACAGAGATCCGCCTGGCTCTGCCTCCCGAGTGCTGGGATTAAAGGCGTGCGCCACCACCGCCCGGCTTGAGTCTAGCCTTTTTGCAAGACATCTTCCCCTCTGCTGCACCTGCTGCTGTCCTTAACAGCTCTGGTGACTGCATTCCACAAACCCATTCAGGAAATACCAGTTTAGAACAACGGCAAGGTTAAGGAACCACTGTGTCAAACGCCATGACCAAAGCAACTCGGAGGGAAGCCTTTATGTGGGTTATGCTTCCACATTACAGTCCATTCATGATGGAAATCCAGGCAGGAGCTGAAGCAGAGGGCATGGAGGACCGCAGTTTCCTGGCTTGTTCTCCAGGGCTTGCTCAGCTTATACAACCCAGGACCACCTTACAGGTAGGGGAAGTTGGAAGGGGTGCGGTGGAACCGCCCACAATGGGCTGGGCTTTCCCACATCAATCTTAAACAAGTAAACGCCCTCACACCCTGGTCGCCAGGTTAGTCTGATGGGGGCATTTTTTTTACCATCGAGGTTCCCTCTTTCCAGATGAGTTTCGCTTATGTTAAGCTGACAAAAACCATCACAGGAACTTGCAGGCCCCAGCTCTCTGCAAGCCAGTCCTATTGACCCTTCTTCCCCAGCCCACATTTTTCTCCTGAGAGAATGCGTTTCTGCGTTTTCCAGCCTGGAATTCAGTGGCAGCTTTAATTCAACAGGTTTTGCAGGAGGGGAACTTGATAAAACCTCTCTAGCACTCTTGGCTTTTCATTTCCACATCTCCTACTAACTTGAACCTTCATACCTTATCGTGTGTGGTTTATCTTTGCTGTAGGTCTCCCCACTAGTCTGAGCTCCTCGGGGTGGCACGCTCCACGTTATGGCCAATGCCTGGGACCCCAGTACTTAAGGCCATGGAAGGCGAATACCGCATAACACAATGTAATTGTTACACGCTTATTTTTTAGTTGACTGTCCCATACGCTACAGTAGGGATCCGAACCCGTGTCAGCCCGATCCTGTCGGTCGGAAACGTGACCCTGGGGCTGGCACGGTGCGGCGCTCCGCAGCTACCTGACGCCCTCGTGCGCGCGCGCGCCCGAGTCGCCGCCGCGAGTCACGTGGGCCCGGGAGGAACGCGGGATCCAGGGCCTCGTGGGCACTCACGCGGGCAGAAGCAGGCAGCCAAGGCCGCTGGCTGTGCTTACCTGCGCGTCGCTCGGCTCCACAGCGGCACCCGAACCTCGGGGGTCCACAGGGACCGCAGACCGGCTGCTCAACCAGGGTGGGGACCGGGTTACTCGCCTTAACCCGGGCTGGGGGCGGGGCCTAGAGTAAACTTGACCTTGGGCTCCCCGCTTCCCGCTGTGGGCGGAGCCCGAGGGAGTAGGTAGACTCCCAGTCTTGCCCCCTCCCCGAGGGCGGGTCCAGTGGAGCCCCGCCCCTCTCCCATTCCTAAGGCCACACCCCTGCTCTTCAGGTGCCCAGTTGGTTGGCAACCATTGGCCTTACTGCTTCGTGCTTGTTTTTATCTTTCGGTTTTATGTTCGGTTTATTTCTTTTAGGTAACTTTACATTCTTTTTGAAAAGTCTGAATTAAAAATATATCACGGCATGTATGAACAGTTCTTAAAGTGTAAAATAACTACTTATAATGAAAGCAACAGGCCCCTCTTGCTCGGCTCCACCCACAGCCCCTTATCATCAGTCTCTTCTTTTCTTTTGATGGTCACTTCTTGTCGCAAAAAGAAAAAAAAAAAAGAAAAGAAAAAGAAGAAAAGAGCTTACATAGCGATTTCTTGATTTATCTATTGACTTTCTGCCGTGTTGGTTGAAGATTTACTCTCTTCCTGCGCCCCTGTGTCCCTCCTGACACATTTACACCTCTATTCTCCAGCTCTGCCCTGGTGAAGGCTGGGGGGATGGGGTCCTTAAGCTGACACAGTTTGGGGGATGGGAAAATGAGAGCTATTTTAGAAAAGAAATACAATTGGGCCTTTCTAGTGAGTATATACATTCATACTAAGAAATTACAACCAAATCCTTAGAGATCAGGTCTTGCTCCCTGAGGTCTTTGTATAATGTAGGACCTTAATTTGCTTTGCTAATACAGTGTAGCTTTTCAGCTTCCCCATAACCTTCTCTATACCTGCCCAATACTCACAAGGATATTGGAGGGAGGAGTCTTTAAGATCAAGCTCACTGGCATCTGTCAATCCTCAAGGAGGGAGAGTGTGAAAAAAAATATATAATAAATAATGCCATCGAGATGATGTCAGGCTTTGTGACTGCTGAACATTTAATCTCCCCCTTTTCCTAACCACAGTGACAAATCAACTCCCAGGTGTGAGGAGTGCTTTACCAAGCTGGCTCTGGACCCTCTTTCTGTCCCCAGCCCCTGACAATCCTCCCAGGCTCTTAGGAAGGGCCACACCTTTGTCTTTAATCAGTAGATGGGCACACAGGTGGCCCCCACTAAGTACCCAGAAAAAGGGTACCTCCACTCAGATAGTCGACACCATGCCCTCTAGGTCTCGTGTCAGGACTTAGGGTAAATGTGTCTCTAGAAGGTGACCTTGAGCAAGCAGCTTTACCTACTGAGGTTTCAGTTTTCTTCCCTTGTGACACTCGATTTGGATGGTTAAGGGGCATCATAGCTGAGTGTACAGTGTCCTTTGGATATTCTCTTACTGAGGTCAGCTGTGTGCCAGCAGAGCAGGTGCTTTATCACAAAGATGTTTGTGACTCTATGTAGCATATGCTACTACAGGTTGGTTCCTTCCATAAACTAATCAAGGGCCATGTCTTTCTGAGTCAGCACCTGGAGCTGGGGAGGCAGAGACTAAACAGAGCCAGCCAGAGGAGAGCTTGAACAATGAAGACTCCTGCAGAGCAAGCATTCTACCCTGTGCCAGTGGAGACTAGGGCCTGGCTGAGGAGGACGCTGGCTTCCTGGACAAGAAGTAGTGTGTGCTTTTGGAAGACGGTAAGACTCTCACATAACAACCAGGCTTTAGCGAACATTCTGGGGAGAGGCAGGCCTGAGAAATCCAGTCTGGGCATTCTGAAGGGCAATAACTGGGTCCCTTGACTATGGTCACAGCTGGCTACTAGATCTTAAGTATAATGGGAGCTTATGGGCAAATTTAATTTCTCTACCACTCTCTTCACTAAAGGAAGATGTCTAGGAACTGAATCCCAGAGAGGACAGGGATTTGATGTAGAAGGTGTGTCTATCTGAGTCTCTCATAAACAGACAACAGTACAAGCAGCTGCGTGAACATGGTTTACTCATGAGGTATAAGAATACAACTAAGAAGGATGGCATAGAGGGCAGGCAGGGAATGCTCAGTGAGGAGGCATTGCAAAGCCAGCACTCCTGTGTAGCAGGTGATTAGAATTAGAGTGTCATCTTAAAGGAACATTCTAGAAAGCAGTAGGCAGACCATGGCTTGGGGTTATCCCACCCAAGGGAATCTGCAGGAGGTAGGTCCCCAAGAAATAAAAAACAAGCTGACAATTCAGAAACGATTTCTAGGCATACAATTCTGGTTACCAATACGAGAACAGCAGTTGTAACAATTGTATAACTCTGCCCCACTCTTGTCTTCTGTCACCCAAAGGTTCTGAGGCTGTGTCCCTCTGTTGGCGTTCTTTGGGCAGCCATCATTGTATAGCTAGCTGAGAGTGACGGTCTTAGGCTGTGTTCTGAGGACCTTCTGAAGAACTGATTCTCAGAAGAACTGTGCGTGGGACCACTGCACTTGGATGAGGCCCTTCTTAACTTGTCTTCTAAGCCCTCATTCAGAAAGAGCAAGCTTTGGTTAGACAAAAAATAGAATGTGTGAAAGGAGATTGGTAGACTTTTAAAAATGACCAAAGATGGCAGGCTTTTCAACCGCTGGAAGTACTTCAGAAGGTGGGTGCTGTCTTAGAACCAAAGACCAGACAGATGACATTCAAGCCAAGTCTTTCTTTTATGGCTATTGAAGCAGGCCTCCACTAGAAAGCCTCTATGTGAGCGAGAGCAATCCTTTCAAACCCTGAATCAGTCCACACCACACAGAAGCCCTTACTGGCTTCCATCACAATTAGGCCCAAAATCACAAGTCTCCCTCATGGGCCACAAGGCATTCATAAATTCTGTCATGCACATTGGCCCTTCCTCATCTTCAGTCTCCTTGGTTTTGCTGTTCTTCCTCGGACACTGTGGAGGGGGGCGGGTAATGCTAAATGTCCCCCATGCACTTGTGTTTTGGGTACTTGATTCCTACTTTGTGTCTTTTTGGTAGGCTATGGAAATTTTAGAACATGGTGTTTAGCTGACGGGCACACCATGAGGGGCAGGCATTGACTGCTATAGTCACCAGCTTCTGAGCCCCCCTGTTTTCTTGATCTGGCAAGCTATGAACAAAGCCACACCACAAGTCCTCACCATGATGCGCCTCGACCACCATGCCTCCCCCACCACACACACTCACTGGCCTTGACCCTTCGAACCATGAACCAAAGTAGATCTTTTCTCCCTTAAATTGTCCGTGTCAGACGTGTAGTCAGTCACGTCATGAAGAGTGACATTAACAGGCACTCTGGCTCTGTCCACACCAGCCCAGCACTTCTCACTCATGGCTGGGATATGCTCCTCCCACTGATGGGATATGCTCCTCACACTCTCAAGGTTACCACCCAACTCCTTAGCTTTCCATTCAACCAAGCTGCCCTCAAAACAGGGAATATTCCTGTACACCATTTCTTTCACAGTATTTTTTTTTTACCCACCCTTGGAGTACATTTCTCCCTTTTAATCTGTCTCTCTCACTTTAGTACACAGTCAAGAGGGGCTGACTCTTCCTGATGTATTCTCACCATCTAGGACAGTGCCTGGGACCCAGCAAGTATTCAAAAAGTATGTGTTGAATGAATGAAGGGCTGAATGAGTTGAACTGAGTAAATGAAATTAAAAAAAAATTTATCGTGGATAAGCACAAACATAAAAGTCATTCTAAAATTCAGACTTTCAACTAATGTAAACCAGGTTCTTCCCACACTAGAAGAATTTGTTGGGAAGGCAAAGAGGCCGAGCTATATTCCATAGTCTGATTCATAATTACAGCTTGAGTTTTTGAGTGAGAAATTTTGCTATTTCACATTTGACCCAGTGTCTGTGTTAAATATTTAAGTAAAGGTTAGCTTGGAAGGCTGCGTACTCATTTAAAGGTGCTAAAGAGAAATAAAAAGGTTCCCCCGGCCATTGGAATAATTCAGCATGGTGTTCTATGGCTTCTGTTGGTGAACTGGTTACCTGGAAATAGAGGCCTTGATCAAATATTTAGGAGCTCACTTATTTTCTTTTTTTTTTTTGCATATTTTGTATTTCTGCTTCTCACTTTGTTTTTACTCCAGCAATCACACAGTTCACACCAAAGCTAATAGAAATGTTTCATGGATTATTAAATGCAGCCGAGAAATGAGCTTTTTTCTAGAACGTAAGGCCAGACTGAGGCTGCTCTGCTGTCCTAACAAAATAATTTTTCCTTGAAGGTACAGACTCTGAGTTTACAGAGGCGGCTCTCTCCTTCCACACTGAGCTTTTATAAGGCGTTATTACGTAAGTCAGCTGAGGAGGAAGCCCTCCTGTGGACAGCGCATGTTCCTTCATGGGTGTAATTCAGGCGCTTACAACCAAACACAGCTAAAACGACTGTGTTGCAAGTAAGGCAGGAAGACACCAACTAGTCCATGGTTATCCTTGGAAGCCTTGGACTGTGGTACCACTCAAAGTCAAGAGGGTCTCCCTAGACTTAACTGTCCCAAAGAATTGTTCCAGTCTCAGCAGCACCGAATTTCTGAATCAGCTTTCCTAATGGAGCCTCTGCTGAAACCCACATCCAGACTTTGATGCTCCTTTGGACCTCCTTGGTACCAAAACTGTCATCTGTAAGTGATCAAAACCACAGTCATCACTGAGAAAAGAAGACACTTTGGGACAAACCTATCATTTGGAGATAAACACCACTGCCCTATGACAGAAGGTGATTTTCTCAAGGTCACACACAGATGGCCAGGGATGGCATTCATGTGTCAGTTGGATTTTTGCTTGTGTGTTATATGCAGCAGAAATATTCTCTTCTCACTGAGTAGAAGGGACCACATTGGTGTGAATGGCCCTTCAGAACTTACAGGCAGACTGGCAATCTGGACTGAGAAAGAATTGGGAGGAAGCAGCTCTGAAAAGCTGGAATTATGAACCTTTAGAAAATGAGCCCTAAGTGGAAAAGGCCTAATTGGGATGTGCCACCAACATAGAGGATAAAACTCCAGATGCTTCTTCTGGCCTGGTCACATTCACACATGGGGGCAGATCCTGAGAGAGGCCCTCTGATTGGCTGATGTTAGGATCCACTCCATCGTCTGGGGAAGGTGTTTGGCTTTGGATATTGAGTGAAAGATGTCTACTTTACTCTCCTTCTGAGACTCATGTGGCGGGGGCAGGGGTGGATGC